ATAAGAAAAGAAAAAGAAATCAAAGTACAATGCTAATATAGTTTTGTCATTCCATTCCATTCCGTTAGGTTGATGGCAATTCGGTTCCAGTGGATGATGATGATGATGATGATGATGAACTACCACCACATCAGTTGGAACCTACCCATGAAGTTCCTAAAAAACAGGTGGATTTTTTTTTCTTTGTAATTTAGTTTTCACACAAGTAAAGTAGATGATTTTTGCAGACTCGTGGAAGGAAAATGAGGTCAGAACTTAATCCTCAAGTACCTGCAAAAAAGGTGGATTTATTTATTGTTATATTTTGTAATTTAGATCTTAATGCTTTATTTAATAAAAAAAGAAATAGGAATCAAAGTACAATGCTAATATAGTTTCGTCATGTGTGTGTGTGTGTCCATTCCATTAGGTTGATGGCGATTCGGTTCCAGTGGATTATGATGATGATGATGAAAAACAGGTGGATTTATAATTAAAAAAAAATTGTAATTTAATTTTAAAAGGTTTTCACATAAGTAAAGTAGATGATTAATGAGAAATGAATTTGTGTTTGCAGACTCGGACTCGTGGAAGGAGAAAGAGGTCAGAACTTAATCAAGTATCTGCAAAACAGTCTGAAATACCAGCCTCTACGTCAAATTCTCAACTTCCTACAAAAAAGGTGGATTTTTATTTTTTTAATTTGTTAGATGTGGTTAAAAGCTTAAAATGGTTTGGTTTGGTTTTTATGATTTATGAATTTATTATGTTGCAAGGCTCGTGGAAGGCCAAAGAAAAGGTAGACAAATCAAATCAGCAAAAAGCCAAGGGTTCTTCTCTCACGATACTTGGGTACCTAACTTGTTAAAAAAACTTGAAACCATATTATATTATTATTAAACCTGTTCAATTATGAATTTCCTTTTCTTTTTTGTGTCATTGTAATCAGTTGGTTATATTTTGATTTTGATGGCCAGATCTCGTTTCGAGGTTTCTGAAAAGCCAATCTTCCTCTCTGTTTATATCTTATGTCATCAACCAGACAATAAATTTTGGATAGAGCAATAAAAAATCTTCTTTTAACTTTTTTTTCTTTGTATCCTTCTGTATAAATAATTGATAAAACTAACTAAGAAGAAATATAAAAGGTAAATTAATAACAGTTAAAAAACAGTACAATTAAACACGAAATTAGTTAACAACCAAACCAATCATGGAATACATTACATTTTTCAATATTTTATTACATCAATGAATATGTAATTGTCCATTAATAAAAGGTGCTGTTATTTGTTTTTCTTTTTGGAACAAACGAAATTAATAAAAGACATTAGCAAGAAAATAAACGAAGACAATTACATCAAAATCTTTAAAGTTGGGTTTTCAAGTCATAAATTTCAATTTATATGAAATTTATGCTTGAAACAAAAGTGTCATCATTTCTAGATCTAATACTATCAAATAAACATTTGTTTATGAAGTTTGTACTCTTAATTTCTTGTTGCATCTCCTGTAGATCAATTAATTTTTTATTATTATCTTCTAATCAATCAAATCAATTTTTTTTAATATATTTATTATTATTTTTACAAAATGCACCCCTCTACTTATCAATCACTCGATACAATACAAATATGCAACCTTAGATAGTGTTAAAGGTATATCATTTTTTTTATTCGAAATGATCAATGTTATCATTAATCAATTTTGAATATTTTTATAAGTTTGATTAATCAGAAAATTAACAAGATGAATGTGATCCCGTTACAAAAAAACATTTTTGAACACGTAGTCAAATATCATAAATAAGCTCTGCAATTCTTTTATTTAAATAATCATCAACAACCAAATGGCTTTTACCCAAACGGTATCCAATGTTGTCATTTTTCTTTGAGGTCGATGGTTCAGGTTCTGCAGTAGAAATAAGTGGAATAATTTAGAGTAGTTTAGTATATTTGTCGTTTAAAAAAAATCATCAACAAAAACCATTAACAGCGTTTCCCTTCTTCTTTGAGGTCGAGAGTTCAAGTTCTGCGGTGAAAATAGGTGGAATAATTTAGAAGTAGTTTAGATATTTGTCGTTTTAAAAACCAAGACATTTGGTCTAATGGTATTAACAGTGTTGGAAAAGTGTTCATCTTCAAGAGATTGAGATGCAAAGTTAACCGTGGTGGACAAAAAATAGAATGTGGTTAGATAGGTGTTTAGGAGTAGTTTAGTATATTTGTCGTTTTAAAAACCAAGAAGACATCTGGTCTAATGGTATTAATAATGTTTGGAAAAGTGTTCGTCTTCAAGAGATTGAGATGCGAGTTAACCGTGGTGGACAAAAAATAAAATGTGGTTAGATAGATGTTTAAGTTAACCGTTAAGAAAAATAATAGTTATCAATAAAAATATGTTCGAAAAAAAAAAAAAACATAACCCTTGGAAAAGTCCGTGGTGGACAAAAAAATAGAATGTGGTTAGATAGGTGTTTAAGTTAACCGTTAAGAAAAATAATAGTCATCAATAAAAATATATTCGAACAAAAACATAACCCCGATATCTCGTAACACTTTTCTATTATTCAAGTATACAGATGACAAAAATTCAATTTAAACAACAATGATTATATAATATCTCTTTGATGATTATACTTGGATAGACTAAAATTTTATATAGATATTACTCAACTCATTCTTAAACTAGGAACAAATGACTCATGACTCATACTTCAACAAGATGAAATATCATAGCTCATATTTTCATAGCTCATATTTCAACAAAGAACATCCAATGTATAATTCAAATTCACTTGTAAAATGAATTTCATTCATACATCACGCAAATAGAAAATGTCATTAGAGATGAAAATTGTGGATTTCAGGTAATATTCTTTACTATAATGGATAAAAAAACTACTGACTAGGTTCGACGACGTGCTAGCCACAAAGGCTTGGTCCACAATACGTTCCAAATCATGTAGTTATTGCTACCGTCGTGTTCAAGATGCCCAATAAGTAAATGTTGATTTACAAGGAGCACATCAAATGCATATTGTTTGTCATTATTGCGTAATCACATATCACAACATTCTACTGGGTGGGAAACTATATATAGTGCTCGAAAGAATGCTTACATTCCATAATGCACCACACAATAATTGTAATAGTCAATGAGTTGTTGTGCATAATGGTTAATAAAAATACATTTATACTTTAGTATTATTATCTATTTTAATTTTATTATTACTGTTTTTTGAATAATAAAATAATAATAATCATGACAATAATAATAAAAATTTAATAACAATAATAAAAAAGACAACCAAAAACAAATAACAAGTAAAAAACAAGAATACAAATTATTTACCATTAAATAAAAATGCATTTTATATATATATATATATATATATATATATATATATATATATATATATATATATATATATATATATATATATATATATATATATATATATATATATCAGAGGTTGCAATTTTTTTTTCTAAAGATTGCACTATTAAAAAAAAAAACTTCATTTTTCGACACTAATTATCATCATAACGGATTCGTGACAGATTTTGATGAATTTACATTAAACTGTGCACTTGACGGTACAATTTAAGGAGTTGTCCGTACCACCTTGGAACACCAAGTAAGTCAACCCCTACTAAGATCTATCTGAAACAATATCTTTTATTATTAGATTGTATCTTAAAATTTTGTTCATTTAATTTAAAATTAAACATCATGGGTTGCAAGAAGTCTTATACAATATTATCATTTCACCCATTCATCTCGAATTAGATGACAACAACATTATCTCGATCCCATACAAATAAGATAAGATAAAGGTAAGATGGTCGGCAACCTCAAAATATGGATAAGAGACTCCATAAGAAACCTCCAACAAAAAAAAATAGTTAATCTTGAATCATATTAATTCTTTTGCAACATGTCTTTATAAATGTATAATGTTTTTTTCTAAGGTTTTAAATGTTTTTTTCCAAGGTTTTAAATGTTTTTTTTTAACAAGTATTAAGACGGTGTTTCGATAAATTAGATTATAGTTTATTAGTTTATTTGCGGTGAGAATAAGCAATAAACAATAAGCAATGGATGTTAATTAAAATCAGTTTATTTAGCTTATCTCTACCATAATAAACTGATTTTTAAGGATTTGTATTCAAATGATTAAACTTGTGATTAAAATAAACAATAAACATTTTTTTTTCAAACACCCCTCATTTGATTAACTTCTAAACCCTTTAGAAGGCTTGCAAATAATATATGGGACGGAGGTAAACAGCATGAACAGGTGTCACCAAAAGGGCTAATTTTATCAGCTGTAAATCCGTACTTACTTTTCCCATTTCTTGTCATCCTCCCAAGTCGCCGAGAAAACCCTAGCACAGGTAAGTACTTCATCTACTGTTTATGCTTACATTCAACTAGGGTTTATCACTATCCCTACTCAATGCATACCCTTATCGATTGTTTACGTCGCTGTTCCATCAATTTGTTAAGTTTCGGACGCAAGATAAAAATCAGTTGATTTTGCACTAGATATTAATTTAATGTTTGTTTCTTTGTTTCTTTGTATTTTTTTTTTTTTTACCTTTATGATCTGGTCGTGAATCACCTTGAGGAAATTAAGTGTGAATTCATGTTTGGAAATTGCTTTGTATTGAAGTTTCATGGTTGTGATAGTTAGCGATATAGCTATCTTTCTGCTTAGAGATTTACCCCAAACCCTAAGTGTGGGTTAGTGGTTTTGTTGTTTGCATCAGTATGTGAATAGAACAATGGATTGATAAAACTGCATGACAAAAATGTCACTCATTTTAGTAATGAGCTTGTTTCTCTTAATGTTCTTGGCAACAAAGATTGTGAATTTCTTCTATCATTTCTCTGCTAATGTGATACTCGTTAAATTTCCTGTGAAAAGTTATCATGTGAAGAGGATAAAATGGAGTAATGCAAAATCCAGATCTTGTTTATGTCATGAAAGTTTTCATTTATTCAACATTGCTTCTAGGTACATTACAATGAAGCGGAAACGTGCACCTAAAAAGGACAAACTTGAAATGCCATTAGCAAAGAAGAGACTTCAAAATATTGATGCTCTAATGGCTGAAAAACATGTGATGAATGATGAACCTGAAAAGATTACCTCAGTGCACATGGAAACTGAAAATCCAAGAACTAGTACTAGCACCACCATGAGGGGTAGACAAACAGATTTAGAGATAGGAAAAACTGGTTATGGGGGGATGACAGGTTATCCAAAAGCATTGGGTGACATCATTGTAACTGTTTTAAAAGAGATTTCCAAGGAAGCTGGTGGCTTAGCTAACCTTACAAAGAGCTTAGTTGATAACTCAATCAGCAATGGACAGATGGAGCAACCTCATGCTGACATGGATCTTGAGGAAAAAGAAAGCCAACATCATCAAAATCCAGAATACAACCAGGAAGAATTAAATGCTGCTTTAACAGTATGGTTTGTTATATTTTTTTATAATTAACATTATGCATCTTGGCTTTAATGCTTTACTCATATGTTATAGATGTCAATTTTTCTACTGTAGGTGATCAAAAAGACCATGAAGTTGGATGCTGCTGATCCGTTTAACAGACCCGTGGATCCTGTTGAACTTGGAATTCCTGTAAGCATTTATTTTATTTCTTTCTACAAATATGTGATTCTGTTGTGCATTGTTGCATCGTATATTCTTATAGTGATTTGGGTTGATTTTGAACCAGGATTACTTAGATGTGATCGATACACCAATGGATTTTGGTACAATATGCAACAATCTTGAAAATGGCCTAAAGTACATGAATTCAGCAGATGTGTTTAAAGATGTACAATATATTTGGTATAATTGTGTCAAATATAATAAAAAAGGTGATTATATTTTGGAGCTCATGAAGCGCGTGAAGGCCCCCTTCATGAAGTACTGGAAAGCAGCCGGATTACAAACCGCACAATCACCCCCTATTATTGGTAAGGGCCCCACATTTTTATCATAAACTTTTTGCTTTTCTGAAATCATGACACCATTTTCAATTCAAGATTTCACTTTTCTGATAAACAGAGTCATCTATCTTGAAAGAAAAAGACCACCCATTGTCCCCACCTGCCAATAATGTCACCCTCCCACCTCAAAACAAGGCTGGCCCTATCCAAGTAGCAGAAATTGATCCCATTCCGATCAACATACAAACCAGTCAAAGTCAAAATCAAAGTCAAAGTCAAGGTCAAATCCAAAATCAAACCCCACAGAACTGTACTCCACAATCTTTATCGGACCAGGATGGTGATCCCCAATATTGTATTCCTGGTAAGCTATCTGCAAAATTCATTATCTTTTATAAGACGTAAAGCATATATGATAATATATGTGACTTGTTTAGCTATATTTGGTGGCTGAAAACAGATTCTAGAAGTATTCAAAAGAAGCGCCAATTTCATGATGAGTTATCAAATACAGCAAAAAGGATAAAAATCATGACCAATGAACTGAGCCAGCCTGTGGGGCCCGAGGCATGCAAATTAACAAGCTTTCTTGGATTCATAGCACGTGATGGAAACTTGGCTCCTTTAACTTATGCCACTTGGATTAAAATGCCAGAAGAGTACAAAGAAAACATGTGGCAGAAAGTTCTGGTATTTATTTACCTGGATAAACTTTTTTTTTTTGGTGATGTCAATTAATTTGTATATATTTTTATAGAAAAGGTATGATATGGAGCCCAGTTGTCGAGGATGGGTGCTGATGTCACTGAGAACTAAATGGAGAAACTTTAAGTCTCGCCTTAAGGCTACTCATTATGATGTTCATGAGACTGATGAAGAGAGAATTGCAGATTGTGATGAGAGGGTCCTTCCTGACCAATGGTCAGCCCTTGTTTCACTCTGGAGCTCTGAAAAATGGCAGGTTTGTGTTTGTACTTTTTATCACACTCACTCACACTCCATGAAATAGCAATCTACTTTCAGTTATTTGTTTATCATAGCATCCTACTTTCATTTCTTTCTATTAAGAGTTAAATTTCTTTGTAATTGAATGACATTGCTAAATGAGAGTCTGTTGCTATTTTTTGCATTTCACCCTTTAAAAGTACACTTCAAATGTTATATATATTTATCTCCAACTTTTCAGAATATTTGTGCCACAAATAAGGCCAATCGTGCAAAGCTAAAATTCAGCCACACCACAGGCAAAAAAAGCTTTGCCAGATTACGTGAAGAGGAGGTAAACATTATACTCATTTTCAAATTTCACTTCTCTTCCTTCTGTAAATACTATTAAATATCCACCATAATGACTGATTTGCCCTTTTCTACCATAACAGAAGGCAAAAAGGCCCGATGGCCAGGAACCCTCACAAGCAGAACTATTTATATTAACACGTACACGTAAAAATGGGAAACCTGTGAATGAAGCAACAGCTGCAGTAATTGTATGATCTTTTTTTTTTTTTTTAAATTAGTTTTGTCGATTTTTCATTTATTGTGGCTTGATGAGTAACTCTTTATCATCTTGATTGCAGACACAACTTTGTGAATCCACAACACAAAATGAAGAGAATAAAGTTGAAGATGATGTATATAATCGAATAATGGGAGTGGATACAAAAAGTGGTGGGTCCCTTATTGGATTATATGGGACCCCTCCTCCTCCTCCTCCTCCTCCTCCTCTTCCCTCACATGTTGAGGCTTTGAAAATGGTTGAAGAGAAGAATGCAGAGGTTGTTGAAATGAAGGAGAGACTTGCATCAGTGGAACAAACATGCTCACAGATGGCTGCTCAAATGTCTCAAATGCTCTCAATGATGGCCACCATGCAGAAGCCTTCTCTAGGAGGAAATGTTCCTAATGCTGTAAGTTTCTCAGTGTTTTATGCAAGAAATAGCAATGTATACTTTTGTTGATTTGTTTGTTATAGCATCCTACTTTCATTACTTATTACAACAATTGTAGTTTGAAAAATCTCTCTCTCTCTCTCTCTCTCTCTCTCTCTATATATATATATATATATATATATATATATATATATATATATATATATATATATAATGTCATATTAGGAAGCAAATGAAAGTAATGAAGTCGATGATGAACTTTTTTTTAATGGTGTAAGTTTTGTGTGTTGATTAGGTTGATGTCAATTTGGTTCCAGTGGATGATAATACTCCATGTGAGTTGGAATCTCCAAACACTACATCTAATCATGAAGTTCCTGTAAAAAAGGTGGATTTTATTTATTTTTGTAATTTAGATGTTAAGAGTTTAAAATTGGTTTTTACATAACCACATGATTTATGTTGCAGAGTCGTGGAAGGCCAAAGAAAAGGTAGAGAAATCAAATCAGCAAGGTATGTCTCTCATATGAATCTTTAAGGACTTAATGGGGACATGATTTAGAGGCTATTTCTTTATACGTAAATTCTGTTTCTTTTTTGAACCGAATGAGAGACTAAATGACCATTTTACCCTTACATTCCAAAATGAAAATTCACAATATTCATCAATTTTAAAATGGGAGCAAAAAAAGGGCAAACAGACAAATAGTTAGAGGGTTAGTGTCTTGATACATTAAGCCATGCTTTTTTTTTGGCTTAACAGATTAAGTCATTTTGTCCATATATGAAGTGAAATAAGCAACCATGTATAGTAAAGTTGTCCAAATTAAGTGCTTAAAATTTTGTATGCTATAACATTTTAGCAGAGAAAATTGCAGTGTATTTTGGATGGCATTTCTATACTTGGGTAGATTTATCATTTATGTTATGTTATGGTAACAGAAAGAAATGAAAGTAGAAAAACAAATCAATGCTGTTTCTTGCATTAAACCCTAGTTTGAATTTTCTTTTGTATATTTTGATGGGCAGATAGATGATTTCAAGGTTGGTGGAGAGGCTAGATCAATCCCAATCACATTGTGTCATAATCATGAGCTAATGGTACTATGATTTGATATCTTGTTACAAGATATCCTAGATTAACTAACTTGTTAAGGAACATGAATTTGTGTTGATCATTGTATGTAGTAGGATTTTTTAAGATAAAACTGTTGCCTTTAAGAGGCGAGGAGGCAATAGGCTGTTTTTTTTCAGCAATTTTGTTATAGAAGAGTTTGGATATATAATATAAAAATGTCACATCATTGGATATTACATATGAAAATAAATCTAACAAACATCGGTTACCCTATATGTAGATTAATAAAACTAATAAAATAAGGGAGAAGGGGGTACAATTTCAATAGATATGAGAGAAGAATTTGTGATGGTTAGAATGATTAAATTAAACCTTATATTTATAAGCTAAGAAACTAAAATCCTAAAAGGATGTGTGGAAAGGTTGATTAATCCTAATAATTTTAAAAGAAAAAATAGTAAAATGAATCCCAAGGAGGGAGAATTCTTGCTAATACTTGAACAAACTCCACAATGAGAGAAATGCATAAAAACATCGCTAGTGTTCTTACTTCAAATAATGCCATCAAACATTCTTAACGGAATAGTGTCAATACCTTTAATCTTGCATCGATAGTCATTGAAACAAAAACTAAAACTGAACCGACATTAAGAACTTGCTCTAAGGTAGACTATTCTTTATATGAAGCATTATGAACTACTATCCTACGCTCAATGTTGCAAAAACTGCCATCAAGTCATCATTACCTTTTGATTTATTTGAGGCAATCTTTTTTTTTTTTTTCCTAGTTATATAGTTTGTAGCATTCAATATTTCATACCCATCTTCCTTGCAATATCTGCAAGTCTTGTCATTCCCTCTAGATTTCAATTTGCAAGACGCCATTCGTTTTATCTTTTTTCTTGGCATGAGAGGCTTCGTAAACCTCATTGGGAGTGAGGGTATCACAAGTTCACAACTATAGACGATGGTATCTTTGAAATTTAAGTATATAATATAATCAAACAAATATGTTCATCGTCCTACTTGTAGGCTGGCCCAATCAGGTTATTGGGCCTATGTATTAGCTTAAAAAAAGCCCTAAAAGGGGTTATCATATTTATTTAAAATTCTAAGAAAATTTGCAAAATGCCGGGATTTGTAATTTGTTCTCTCGCCCCACACAAGCGCCTAACCAACTAGTATGGAAATAACTCTTATTCAAAATCGGACATCGTTTTATATATAAATATTTATACCATAGACAGAGATATTTTTCGAGGTCTATGTAATTGCATACCCTGCACATGCGTAGGTCTGCCTTGTGTACATGACTTCCATGGTTGCCAACTCAAAAATGGTCTCCTTGAAATATAAAACATTTCCTCCATTTTGAACGTGTAAAAACAACATATGCTTTAAATGCATTTTATTAGTATGATCATTTTTCATGCGTATGGATTCTAGTTTGAGTTAAAAAGCAATTGTAATCTTTTCCTTTAGAACCTGTATATTTTGCTACTAAAGTAACTTAGTGTATCATCATGATATATGCATGAGCTCGTAATTCTTTCATCTTGACTAGCCATAAGGAAAACTAGGTATCACGTTTTAACAAGTACCAACATACGGTTGTATTTCATTGAAAATCGATTTAAGCATGTGAAGGTGTATGGAAAAAGTTGACATAACCATTTGAGAAAATCGATGAAGACTTCAGGTTTCAAAGAATCTTGGCTCTAATACCACTTATTGTAATAATGATGAAACAAGAAGCAAGCATAACAAGCCAAGAACATAAATTAGGTGCAAACCCTTGTAGGAAAAAACCACAAGGCATTTAACTTATTTTGTTATAAAATCGATAAAAAGGAAGAAGTAAAAAAGGTACAATTGGAGATTAGAATGATTAAACTAAACCTGGACTTATATGCCAAAAATCTAGAATCCTAACAAGATGATTAAATCTCTAACAACCAAAAAATATGGAACTATTGCTTAATCCTAATAACTTGGAAATAAAGTAACAAAATAACTCCCAAACAGGGTGAATTCCACCAATCCAAGAACAAAAAAGAATAATCTATCAACTCTGCTTCCCTAACCTCACTTAAATAAAAACACCAAAACAACATTCTTTTTGGTATGCTACACTTGGCTACCATTACAAATTACAAATTATTAATAATGTCAAAACATCACACCCCCTTTCTAACATTACTTATGGTGTACGAATTTGATGTTAGATTGAGAGGGAGTCCTTGTTGTCCTACTGACAGTATCAGTATCAGTCTCAGTCCAATGCAGACCAAACACAGTACCTGTCATGTGTAACAAACAAGACCTTTTGCCACCTGTCATAAACAGATCATGGGAGATCGTATTTGACATGAGCAAGATAAAGACCACAAGCAGGAGCCATTGGACCATTGGCCGTTACTGTCTTTGCTTCCAAGATCCGTTCAACTAAAAAAACACATCAAATCGGATAAATAATTAATAAGTTAAAAAAAACAAACAAATTAATCTCCTAATAACATATAAATAATATTACTAAATTTTACCATCAGACACCGTGAAATCTCCAGTACCCACAGATTTTATAGCACCAACAAGAAGCCTAACCTATATCAGGTAACTAACTTATAAAATCAAATAAAATATCTGATCATTAGTCAAATGTCTAAAATACCCTTTAATAACTAACACCAACCTGATGGTAAAGAAAAGAACGCGCTCGTGCAGTAACCACAAAGCATCGGTGCCTTCTCCTCATTCCAAACCCTAGACTCGCCTCACCAACAGACCATTCAACTTTATTTTTGTTAAAATTACAAGATTGCCCCTCTGACTCAGAGCATGCAGAATTTTGTATTTCCCTTTCCTTTGCTGATGGGAAATATGGAGATGGGAAAACCTCGATAACATTAAGTTCATCTAAGTTTCTGATTGGTGATTTTGCCTGTGAATTGTGAAGAATCATTGAGAATGAAACGAGGGAATTACATAAAATTATAGGTCTGTTTGGTTGGATGGAATGGAATGACAATGGTAATGGAATGAGTAATTACGTTCCATGATCATGTTTAGTTGGCTTGTATGAAAGGAATGAATAATCATATGAAGATTTTATATTATGTGTAGATACAAGGTATAGTTTAAACGCCATTTTATGTATATTTAATTAACTATAACTGTAGAGTTTAATATTTACAAAAAGAAAAATAAAATTGACCACAATAAAAGCTCACTGAAACCCAAATAAGATTATGATGAAAAAAAAATCTAGTTATCATAAGAAAATAAAACTATAATTTAAATAAAAATATAAAATCATGAAATTCTTAAAAAAAAAAAAAAAAAAAGATTTTTGTCACGAGATATTTTATGAATAGAAATGGGTTATGTAACAAAAAAATTATTCCATTTCCATGATGGAATGTAAAAACACCCCTGCCAAAGAAAAGAAAACTAACAAAAAAGTAAATTACAAATATGGTCATTGTACTTTCTGATTTTTACCGTGTTTAGCCCAATGTGAAACCTTTTTTCAATTTTGGTCCTAATTTCAAGATTATGTAACAACTTTGATCCCTTGGACTTTCTGATTTTGGTAATTATTTCAAGGTTTTATGTCGGATTTTGGTCCATATTTCAAGATTCGAGGGACCAAAATCGATATGAAACCTTGAAATAAGGAAAAATTTTGAAAAAAGTTCAAAAATAGTAAACATGATAAAACAAAAAATACACAGGGACTGTTTTTGTAAATTACTCTTAACATTCAGAACTGGTCCATTTCCATCAGGCAAAACAAACAGATTTTTTTCATTCCAATGGAATGACCCATTCCATTCTTTTTCTCTGATTCCGTCATACGAAACACCACCTTAGTTATACAACAATAATTAGCATATTTAAAAATAAAATACCACAACGGGGAAACTTTCTTTTACTCGAGATCAAATATGATCACCATAATTACTGGCTAACATACTAATACTACCTTATAATTATCATACAACAAAAAGAGAACTACAAGGAAATTAATGTATTTCATTTAGGACAAGATGAGAACCTGGCAACCAGAAGCTCGAAATGAACTGAAATCATGAAGTCCCACAAGAACTTTGCAAGCTTTCTTCATCAACAAATTATAGTTTGAATTAATAATCCCTGAAACTAATGTAAAACATAAACTCATACTTCATGGACAAAATATCAAACAAACCTGCATTGCGGGCAGATCTAGTTCCTCAGGCACATGCCATGCCCGACCTTTCTCAAAAGTTGATAAATGTTCTGGACCTGATAGAATCCGGTAGAAGTAACTACAGGAACATGTACACATTATGATTAAAAGACGTAAATACCCCTACATCCTCATCATCACAAGATTACAACCTTATTGATATTAACATAATCAAATCTTGATAGTATAATTATTGATACCTACGTTCGCTCTTGAGCTTTATATCTAGCATGAAAATCAGCAGCAACACATCGAACATCAATAATTGTTATATCACCCTCATGCTTCTGTAAGAAATGGTTGACAGCTTTCTTGACCACAGAAGGTTCATGAGGTGGCAACTGCAAATTTTGATAAATTCAAGCTTCATGCCTTCATTGAAGCTCAAATGGAGAGAAAAACATGGGGAAAAAAAATCAAATTTTATATGGAAGTTACCACTTCACTTGGTTTTCTTTTGCTTATTCGTTCTACATCTACATGACAAACATTTGATAAAGCATGTACTCCCGCATCCTATACATGTAAAGGATATAGATTTGAAACAGCAGATGAAAATATAAAAGGAGATGAGAAAGAAAAAGAAATTTAGCTAAGTTTTTCTGATAGAGAGAATCAATATAATTGCCAGGTGTAAAGCAATAGAAAGTAAATCCGGATTGTTAACTTACTGTACGACTCGAGCAGAAAATGGAAACTGGTTGACCGATGAACTTGTGAAATGCGTTCTACATGAAATAGCGAACATGTCGTTTTATTGTCATTATCAATCAATAGGCCGTTTTAAGCTTGACGTAATAACAAAGAGGGAAACTACCTGGAGAACGCCGACAACGGTCCTGCAATTAGGTGATTGTTGTTGAGCACCAGAGAATCGAGTTCCAATGTACTCAATGGCAAGCAAGTACCTTTGAATTGTCCTAGGGTTTTGCCCCATTGTTCGATTTGCTCCCGCTTCTGCTTCCTCGGATAATTTGGCGATCTTCAATGGCCGCTTGGGGGATTCAGGGCGATTATCCGGCGAGTAATCAGTTCCCAACGGCTGCGATTGATCGTCGTCTGTCATTGTGTACTCTCCCCCCGCGTTCTTCAAGGTTTTAGGATTTCAAAAAGGAGCGTTTGGGCGTAAGGTTTTAGCGTGGTGGGCATCACTTTCCACATTATTATTATTATTATTATTATTATTATTATTATTATTTTTATTTTTTTAATAATGATTATATTTTTCGATTTGTATACATTTAGTTATTGAGTTGTTTTTCGTCCACATTTACCCCTTCAACTTGTTAAACTATATACATTTAGTCTTTATGACCGGCAACTCCAGGTTAGCCGGTAAAGGAAAATCTCCAATAAAGTTCTAAAATTTTAGCTCGGTTTATGTTTTAGTCATAAACTAATTTTTGTTTACGAAAAAGTCCCAAAAACCGGTAAAATTTTGCATTTTGATCCTTTTTGACTGGTTGGAACCGGTAACAAATTAATTTATGACTATTTCATAAATTGACCCAAAATATTGGAACTTTTCTGCAAAAACAAAAAATATTAGGGTTTTTCTGCAAACAAAAATCTTATTATTATTATATTAAAAATATAAATAAGTATACTATTTTTTAAATTTGTTATTATTAATATTATTAATAATACATATAAATACATTTAAAGTAAAAAAAAATATTAAAGACATTTTATAAAGGTGAAGGTTGAGCGGATGGTAATGATTTAAGCTTTGTAATCATGAATGTCTGTTTGTATATTCTAACTTTGTATATGGTCATTTCACATTTGTTATTATTGTTTTTAATTCAGAATATTAACATTTAACAATTTAAAAGAAGCTACTGATTTTTCAAATTGTTTACAAATAGTGAGCATGTGATATGCGTGTATATTTTGTGTGTAAGTATTTTTGAATTACCAACATTTGTATTGCTCTTTTTTATTACTTTATCCTTATGGTTTTTTTGGAAACATAGTAGATATAATGTGATAAAGCAAAATAAATCATATTACTTTCTATTAAATAAGATATTTTAATTAATATTTTTGAATTTTGATATGGGCCACCAATGTAAATATTTATTGTGGATCTGCTGGATTTGAAAAGAAATCATTCTACCTTAAGAAATTTTATATACAAAGTGAGAAATCATTTTATGTTAAACTATTTATACATAATTTTATAAATAGGCAACTTCTTTTAAATTGTTAAGTGTTAATATTTTGAATTGAAAACAATAATAAGAAATGTGAAATGATCATATACAAAGTGAGGACATACAAGCAGTGATTTCAATGCTTAAAGCATTACCATCACCACTACCTTCACCTTTAAATAATTTCTTTAATATATTTTTATTTAAGTGTATTTATATGTATTATTAAAAATATTAATAATAATGAATTTAAAAATTAGTATACTTGTTAATAATAATAATAATAATAATAATAATAATAATAATAATAATAATAATAAGGTTTTTGTTTGCAGAAAAGTCCTAATATTTTTTTTTGCAGAAAAAATCCCAATATTTTAGGTCATTTTGTGAAATAGTCCCAATATTTTAGGTTAGTTTATGAAATAGTCCCAAATTAATTTGTTGTCGGTTCCAACCGGTCAAAAGGGGTCAAAATGCATACTTTTGCCGGTTTTTAGGACTTTTTCGTAAACATAAATTAGTTTAGGACTAAAACGTAAATCGGGCCAAAATTTTAGGACTTTATTGGAGATTTCCCGCCGGTAAAAATGACTTAATAGGATAATATATTTCTCATTTTGTACACATTTAGTCCTTAATATTTTTGTACACATTTAGTCCTTAATATTTTTTTTGTCGCAAAATAAGTCACTTTTGTTTTTTTATTCATTCAGTACTTATTAATGATTTCTTTAGTTTTTTCTCACGACATCTGATGTGGGATAACCATATAGTGGTGGGATAGGTTGAGGTGGTCCTGCTATATGTTGTTGGTCAAGATACTTGGTGCGGGCCGACTATAAGTTGTAGGCATGTAGGGTCGAGAAGAGCGGTTGGGTTAAGACGACATGCCAACAAACCCTGGGTATTTCAGTCTGATGACTAATTGCACCTGTTGCATGTTGGCATTCCAGTCCGATTACTGATTGGGCCAATGTATTTCAATCTGATGAGTGTGGGTCCGTTATGCATGATAATACATTTGTTGTATCGAGTATTTTGGGGGAAACTCACTAAACTTTGTGTTTTCCCAGTTGTTTATGTTTTCAAGTTCTATCGTTGATTGTGGAAAGGCGATGCATGACTGTACACACTCATCAACAATATTGACGATTCCACGTTTCTTATATTACTCCGATTTTCGATAAATATATTTTGAAATAAACGTTTTTTCTTAATAATGGATTTACAATTAGGGAGTTTTACCTAATTTAAAAATGAAAACTTTTTGTTGTGAAAATGAGACATTACACATAAACATCAACAACCCCATACACTTCATCAATGATTGTTCCACGTAAGATATCGTGAGAAAAAACTAAATAAAATATTCATAAGTATTGAATGTGTACAAAAACAAAATTGACTTATTTTGAAATAAAAAAAATATTAAGGACTAAATGTGTACAAAAATATTAAGGACTAAATATGTACAAAATGAGAAATATATTACCCTATTAAGTCATTTTTCCCGGCTAACCTAGAGTAACCGGTCATAAGGACTGAATGTGTACAGTATAACAAGTTGAAGGGGTAAATTGGACGGAAAAAAAAACTCAGTGACTAAATGTGTACAAATTGAAAAATATATTACCCTTTTAAGTCATTATCCCTTTTTTTCTCCAACTTCCAAAAACACAAAAAATGATATATTTTATTTCTTTTCTAAGGCCCGAAAAACCTGGACACTGTTAGTTTTCATGATCCAAAGTGAGAGAAAACACTATGAACTTTTCATTAACTAAACTTCTCCATATAGAGCTTATTACATTTTATACAGGAACCAAAACTTCTAACTAACTAACCAATTGGGATCAACAACTTTAACTATCTGAATCATAAATTACAGTTATACCATTCATGCTAATTTACAGAAATACCCTTTAGATCATTTGAGAGATGCTGACAGACACACATGACGCGGTCGTGGCGCACACCATCCCTGGTGTGTGGCATCTCAAGTCACGTTTCTATCCTTTCTCATCCATTAATTCTCCCACACCATTTCACACCTCTTTCACTCTCTTTCTCTATTGTTATTACATCCATAAACACTATTTATTTTTTTGTTTCTTTGTCGTGGTAAGCTTATGTGGAGCTGAGGTGGAAGGTTTTGTCATGTTATTACCATGACACCACTCTTTCAGTCTAACGAGCCATCGAGAGAGGTATTCATGTCGGTTTTCTTGCATCACCTTTGTTGAGCTTCCTGCATTGATTTCATCCCCTCTTCTTATTATATCCAACTCCAATCAAAAGCTAGCACCATTTTTTTTTTGAAAAAATCATCTATGTGGTTAGGTTATAATCATGCAGTTTGTCTTTATCTTTTTTTCATTCTAACCATCATCCACACGCTTTTTTTGTTCAACATTTCATCTTTCCAACTGTTAGTTGTTTATTTCATCCATTAATAACCTCATGTGCAAAGCATACTAAGAGTATTTTTTGTCTTTCTAATTCAAGTCTATAGTAAACTATTCATGGCGCAATGTATAATTTGGTATATCGATGCATTCCCCTACATCCCAATTATTTTCTCTCGTTTACCTCTACCCAACCAATGATTGAAGTTGTACCTGCTTATAAAAACCTAATTCCATCCCTATGTTCTTTAACAAGCAATAATGTTCGGATGAATGATTTGTGCAGGGATGATAGAACTCGATATAAGTCAAGATTACAATATACTTGACTTCCTCTTTATTATTTTCTTCCATATCACTAGATTTTTTCCTTACTAATCAAATAATAGGTTTTTTCATTCATAGAAGATTGTTAGTTGGTTTTTTCTTTACAACAAATCATTTCGCAATCTTTTCAATCAAATTGCTCTATAGTATATGTAACATCCAAAATATGGTCCCAAAAATTTCGTTTTTATAATAGATAAAATAGTATTTTCAAATATCATCCATACATCTCAACAAAACCAATGTATCGAATGTTATCAAAATCAGAGTGAATATCAAATGCGGAATCCCAATGGTGTGTGCGATGCAGTCAACTCGAGCTTTTCCCCTTGGAACTGGACGTACCTGATGATGGGTTTTAGCCAAAAGACATCCTATGTGCTCATGCAAACCCTAAAGCTTAGATCTAGGTTTCACTATTGAACATGCTTTCAATCCAAGACTTAAAACCCCAGATCTAATCAATATAACATATGAATAAGGGTTTAGATCATACCTTGATTGTTATATAGCAATAACAATCTCAATTCCTTCTTGTATTGACTTTAGAAAGCTTAGAGTCACAAATGTCACTCCTCTAATGGCTCACAAACACCAAGAGCAAGAGGATGAAGAGGAGAAGAGAAGGAGACACCCAAAAGTCGTCCAAAACCCTAAGGAATTACTTGACCACATTTTTGGTGCTCTAGGGATCTTTAAATAGTGAAGCTATTAGGGTTATCAAACAAGGAAACCCTAATTTGGATGCTTAAGCCCTAAGCAACTTATGGAATCCTTCCTTAAAGGCCCTTGGACGATTTCTAATGGGTTTCCCCATAGAATTCGTCCAACCTTATATTATAAGGTAATCCATATCCCAATTGCAATTGTCTTATAATTACAATTATAGTCCCTTAAGTTTAATTAATCTCTTTTAGCCACAAACTTAATTCTTATTAATTCTTGACTAATATTAATTAAACAATATGATTTCTCCTTTAATATATTATTCTCATAATATATTAATAAATCATAATTAATCATTTTTCTCCATAATTCATCCTATCAAGTTGCTTTGGTGAAGGCAACCCAAAAGGAACATGCACCATCGGGTCAAGTACATACCAAAATAGTTATGGACTTAGACACTAATCCAACAGTCTCCCACTTAGACAAGTCTAATAACTATTCTGCGT